GCTCTTCATTTACATAAAGATAATGAATTTTAAATATTAGAATTGTTTTCTCTAAATTATTTTAGGGTTTTTTAAATAACATCTTTCAGAGGCAGCAGCGCTGTGGGGAGGGGCAAGGGAGGCTGCTGCAGAGCATCCTCTATCTGTGGTGGGTCCAGGCTCACCGTGGACAGAGGCTGCTCCATAGGATGCCAGTGCAGCCTCTGTTTGCAGGAAGCTCAGGTGCCGGAGCAGCAAGCGGGAGCCGGTCTGTGTGGAGAGCCAGTTTTTAAACCAGCTCCCCTTGCACATCAGCTGCAGAGGCAGCACTGCAAGGTGGAAGGAGGCTCCCTGGGAGTGGGGCCAGGAGCATACTGGCTGCCAGCCCTGCCCCCAGGGACTATCAAATGGTCATGTAACTGCTAAAATTTGCTGTGGTTACCCAATTATTTAATTACATGTTATCTAACATCCCTAAGCCAAAGAAGAATATTACACAAATACTTAATATATACTCTGTATATGTGTCTTTGTCTACAGGCAGTCCCCGGGTTACGTACAAGATAGGGATGTAGGTTTGTTCTTAAGTTGAATCTGTATGTAAGTCGGAACTGGCGTCCAGATTCAGACACTGCTGAAACTGACCGCCAGTTCTGACTTACATACAGAACCAACTTAAGAACCCCAGGCGTCCCCAAGTCAGCTGCTGCTGAAACTGATCAGCAGCTGATTCCAGGAAGCCCGGGGCAGAGCAACTCTGCCTGGGGCTTCCTGTAGTCAGCACTGGTCAGTTTCAGCAGAAGCTGACTTGGGAGAGGGTTAGCAGTTTTCCTGTTGCACTAGATGTCATTCTGCCAACTTCAGTGCTGTTCCAACTGAGTTATCAAAGTCACATGAGAAAGGCTCATGTCCCAATCTGGTCTTTCCAGCTTTTGAATATACTGACCAGTACATTCCCAGAGCAATTTATACCTTGACCAGAAATGAATGCAACGAAGCACTGTGCAGTCCAGCACTTCTTACTTCTTTGAGTGGCAAAGAGAGTGCGAGAATCTGTCCTTTGCCAAGTGTTGCTAATCAATAAGCCTTCATTGAAGGCTTGACAGTGGGTTCCTGGCCTTGGTAAAGTAGGTTGCCAGGATGCTGGCTTCACTGTTGCTCCAGTTGGGGAGGGGGAGGGAAAGACGAGCATGGTCGCTCCTTCCTGCTTGCAGCCAGGATAGTGTTTGGAATGGAAGATGGACAACTACTGGGAGAGAAAATGAGAGAATCCTGTTAAACTTTACATAGCTCCATTGACCCAAACCTTCCAGTGACATTGGTGTAGATTCAAAGAATTTCCATCTTGTCTATAGCCCTGTCTAAGCAAGAAGGTAAAGGTGGTTTTGTTTTTCAGCTGAGTTATCCTAAAATGTCTGGGGCACTAACACAGACACCATTAGACACCTTCTTGAACCCTCTATAGCCTAGAGCAGTAGTTCTTGAACTTTAGCAACTCGAGGACCCCCATTTTGAATTAAAACGTGTATGCACTAAGATGAATATGAAGCTCGAAACCCAAAGCCTTCAAAGATTTATTTGTTAGCTTAATCTGATGTACTATCAGGCATCCTACTGAAGTCAATGTCAGTGTGTTAAGAAAGCCTTTGCCGGTGTTTGGCCTAATACTTCTTTCTGAGGTGTTTGGTGCAAAAACATTCGGATGCTTTCCTACACTGAACATGTGTAATATAACCGGGTCTGGGAGCACCACTGAGAGGGCCAAATCAGGGTGAATTGCTTAGAAATAAGGCTACTTACAGCCCAAGTCTGGGGTCCATCCTCTATCACAACAAACACTTCAGCTGCCACTCTGGCCAGCAAGAAGTCACACAAGCAAAGCCTCAGAGGCGCGGGGAACCGCCGCTGCTGCCGCTTCAATCTGGGTGCCTGTGGTCTGCTGGCAAAGCCTCAGAAGCGCGGGAACCCGCCCGGTGCCCCTGGTCTGCTGGAGACGGTCTCCAGCAGACCAGGGGCACCGGAGCAGCTTACGAACGGGGCTTTCTCGACCCGACTTCCGGGGCGAGAAAGCTCCGTTCGTAAGTGCAGATCCGACGTAAGTCGGATCCGCGTAAGTCGGGGACTGCCTGTATATATTTGTGAGTGAGTTCATGAGAGCATGATACAAAGGTTTTATAGGTACAAGTTTGGAATGGTCACATTAGTCAGAAGTGAGTGATTTACAGAGGTAATAAAAACCTTCATATCATGCTACACCATTAAGCATTTTGTCCGATTTGTATTTAAATGTATAGAAACGCTATTACTTCATGCTTGAGAGGAAGTAAAAATAGAATTAAAAACTCCATAATCCACCTAGTCTGTTGAGCCTGGCTGTAGATACGGAGAAAGAGGAATTTTTTTGACAGCCAGAGGCAATCAGTTCCTAAAATATGAAATTTAATGTTCCATTATATTAGTATCATACCTTACATACTGTACCTGCAGATGTTGTTAATGATCATAACATTATTCGTGTCCCTGATAAATCCAGTCGCTAAACATCATTTGCTTCGATGGTCTCCTATGCCAATGAATTCCACACATTCTTTTTATGATGAATAGTAGCAAAGGGGACTGGGGAATTTTCTGAAGTGCTGCTCATTGAATTTTTCCACGGGCATTTTGTTCCTCCTTAGTTAACTCTTTTCCATTAGTAAATATAAATGATAATCTGTTATTTATGTCCAATGAGACTTTCTTGTGCTTGCTTTAGACTCAGTCCTGTGGCATGCTGAGTGCAGCCTACAACATGTTGAGCATATTCAACTATTTTGGAAGCCAGTTTAAGATAAGAGCATTCTGCACCACACAGGATTGGGCCCTTTATATTTTTCCGAAAACTGGTTTGTTGGGGTTTTTTTAAAACTTTTTTTTTTAACTACAGACACGACTAGAGCAAGAAGAAGCCAGGAAAGTGATGGTGTTGAGTACATTTTCATTTCCAAGCATTTGTTTGAGACAGATGTACAGAATAACAAGTACGTTGAAAGGACTAACTAGAACCACAGTCAAAACAATGGTTTCATTGTGAAGTTTCAGTAATTGGTTCTTTTATGTAGTAATTTAAAATGTGTATAGTCTGCATTGATTTTAAAACATGTTAAAGTGTAATTTTAATGCCTAAACAGTCAGCACTGCAATTTCTGCAGATTGTTGAAGCAGCACTGTATTTCAAATGTGTGTTTCAATTAATGGTTTTGTATAGTTATATTCCCTTCCAGTATAGGCATTTCCTGTTCAAAAGAACAGGAAACTGGAGAAATATAAAGAAGCCCCTCTCCCAAAGCACTCTAAACATATAAAATAAAATAAAGACAATGGCAACATCATGCTCTCCAACAATCTGTAAAATATTGTGATTTTAAATCCTACCTTAAGTATTTCAGGGCAAAATATAGTATACACAAAGCTGTGGATTTGGATTGAAACTTTAAAATATGCTTTGCTTTTTCTCAAATTGTATTTTTATTACTGTATTACAGCACAAAACCAGCCGCCTTGGTTCTGTTAGCACCATTATAGCTGTTCCTCCTATTTGGAGACAGAGAATTCAGATATTCTATAGTATACAATGACATTTCAGTAGTTTCTATTGTTTAGCTTATCCATTTTTTTATTGCATTACATTAGTTCTGAAAAAGAGGTGATGGAAAACATTAGTGTGCTGTTGGACTATAGTACTTTTTCTCCCGAACTGTAATATAAGCAGGTGTTACTGATTTGAAAATGGTAAAATAGAAGGGTTTTTTTTAGGTTGACATGCTGAAGTATTTGGCAGTATTTCCTTTTATAAAACATGGTAAAAATCACATGTACAGTAAAAACATTTCTGCTCATGAATTAGATCCCTTAAGCCAAACTGATAAGTATTTGCTAAAGAAAGGGAATGATTCTGATTTTTTTTTCACTTTCTACTACAGGTTTATTGAATATGGTGAATATAAAAACAACTATTATGGTACAAGCATAGACTCTGTTCGATCTGTTCTATCTAAAAACAAAGTTTGTTTGTTGGATGTACAGCCTCATGTAAGTAAGCACCTGTCTTGGCATAGCATAATTTATTGCGTTCCATGTTAAGATTCCAGAAGACTGTTAATAGAGCATTCCATTTTATTCCATGTTCAATTTATATTCCATACACTTTCTGGGTATACTTATTGTACAGAGCATTCATAAAGAAATTTCAACACAGATTGGGTAATTATTTAGTGCAAAAACTAACTGCACTGAAAGCTTATACTAACATAAAGAAGATTTAATTACTCACAGGATGTTCTAACATTTGTATTCAGTGTACTACTGATCTGGGTTAGAATGTGTCTTATAAACTTGGTATTTAAATGCTAAGTATCCTGAGAAAGAACCCTTACTCACATGAGTTGTCCTTTGATTTCAACAAGACTGTTCAAGAATAGGGTTTTAGGACAGGCCAAAATGTGAAGAATACATTAAATACTCAGTATGATGAATAACAGATAAATAGAGTAGTATTCTTTAGAGGGAAGGGACTGCTTTTTGTTTGTTTCTCTTTTGAATGCACGTTCCTCTTCCTACTAACCCCGACCTCCAATATTCAGTATTCTCTGGGTGCAAGTTTAACTTGTGCATCTGAACATTTACATTTTGAATGAAATAAATGTATAAAATATTTGAAATTGCTCAGAACAGATATTTCCATTTATTTTGTGTGGTTCCTCATCTTTGACTTGTTTTAGTATTGTTCAAATATCCTTTAGTGTAGCAAAAAATTCAGGATCCAGAAAAATGATTTTCGATGTTAAATGGAAACAGTTGAAGTCTTCCCCTTTACCTCACAAGTGCCCGCATTATGAAGCACTCAAGCTGTTGGTTTAAAGAGGGTTGTGTTGGTAATTGGACATGATTATTCCCTGTCTTATTAGCATTTACTGTAAATGGCAAAGGCATCAATGGCAAAACTTATTTGTGTTAATCCAAATATGTCATGTTCCTTGTTAGAAAACTGGCAAAAAGATACTTTCTGTAGCAAAAGGTGATGGCTGGTTAAACAGTGGCTTTAGGAAAGCAATGTAAGAGTCAAAAACCTAGATCAATAGTAGTTTTGATGGGTCACAAGTAAAAAATGTGCAGTTTTGGATTCATTAGCTGAGTTGTTGCACTTTATGCAACATTACACTTAGTGTGAAAACTGCATTAGCTAATATTAACAATTTTAAATGATCAAAAGGAAATTTTGATTTTGTAGTATGTATATAGTATATTATTGTGAACAGTTGGCTTTTTCTAGCTATTAGAATTAGATAGTATCATTGTCATCTGATTAGAAAGATCTCAATTGGAAATACAATTCCAAATTAAAATAACTCAGTTTAAGCTTAGGAACATGTACATTTGGCATTTGGGGGGGGTTCAACCCTATCCTGTTACAACTAGCTGCTTCTGCAGCTGCTGCTAAGATTGTGGGAGGAGGAAGATACTTGATACTGTAGCTGCAAGTTATCAGGCAGTAACTTGTTACAAGCCAACAATAGCCACATGGAGACATGTTTTACTTCTTTGAGGATGATCCTATGGGTGCTCCATTATAGGATGTTCAAATGCCCATGTGTCCTTGATCAAAGGCTGCAAAGTAGTCTTCATGAGCCTGCCCCTGTGCAAAGTGTCACATTGTACTTTGAACAAGGGCATATAATGAAGTATAAACCAGCCTCCTCTCTGCGGTTTGATATTGAGAGTTCTGCTGTCAGCTGTTTTCCCCTTGTAAATTCTCTTTTACCCTAATTTCATGTTTACTTAATTGTATTTTTTTCTGTATTTTGTTCATTTAGTCTGTTTATTTTGTACTATTATGTCTCCCTTATTTTCTTAGATCTTTCATTTGTGGTGGAACATAGTTTGTTATGCCCAAAATGCTGGGGTTTAATCCCCCTTAGATATGCCACAGGTTCTTTCCCCACAGTGATGGACATTCCAGTTGCTTACAGTGTTTGGGGCACTTCCAGAGCCTTCTAAACGCAAGGTTTTGTCTGGATTTCACAGCCAGATCCAATACAAGTCCTAGACTTAAGCTCCTATTTATGGAACATACTCTCACTCTGGCAGGCAGAGCTGGCCTTACCATGAGGCGAACTGAAGTAGCTGCCTCAGGTGCTAGACTGTGCCATTAGGACCCAGAGTGTAGAAAATTGTGTCTGCTGCTGGTGCATATGTATTCTCTCTGCTCTAGATGCACAGAGATGGTGGAGTGCCATGAGAGGAGTAGAACAGGAAGATGGCAGAATTGAGACCTTTCAAAGTTTTGGCCCAAGCAAGGAGCATGGGGGCGTCATTTGAGCAGGTGCCAAAATGTTGTGGGCCGGCCCTGACAGGGTTTTATTCACCACCCCTTTTCTCTCCCTCCTCACAAGTTACATCAGCTTCTACATTGTAGAACACCTTAGTCCATATTGTTGCCTCATCTAAGTCTCCAGAGAATAAAACTCTCAAGAAGAGGAAACAAACCTCTCTAAGCAAGGTAGTGAAGAAATGGGGGTAGATCTGCCCATAAAACGCAGTCTTGGGAGACTCTTGTTTCTCTTAGAATACCATAAATTCTCCAACTGACTCCAGTACTTAGGCATTGGTATCATGGAAGAAGTCATACTCAGAACACTTACCAGCCATCAGAGTAACTACAGTGTTGGCACTGCCTGATACCTTGTGGCTCCACACTGCACACAGTGTTGGCATCCATTTCCCAGAATCTGCATCTCACCATATGTCTGAGTTAAGAGAGAACTCTACAACCATCTCATTGGCATTTCCCCTTCTGGTACCAATCCAACCTACTTGGAAAGGCAATTAGAGCCCTCACCTTCTTCCAGGTTCCTTTCTTCAGAGGATTTCAATCTCTAATGAACCTAAGTTTCCAAAACTGAGATCTACTGGAGCTACCTGCCCAGTGTGCCCTGACAACAAATTGACACTCTTCAACCTTTCAGTACTGGTTAGGCATTGGTGACTCTATCCTCCCCCTCACCTGCCAACTGCCTTTGCTCAAGAGATAATTCATTGGATTTAGAGATTTCAGGAAAGTGATTAATTCCAGTAATTTGCTCTCATACTCCACAAGTCCCTTTCATGAAGAGAATACTAGGGAATCTACCAAGCATTGTAAGCCCAGAGTATAATTATCATTAGGGTCCATTTCCTTATTCTCCTCCCCAGTAAAGTTACTGAGTCCCGTAGGTCAGTATAGTGACAAATTTTATCAGATATATAAGAATTAAGCACTGGTATCCACCAGTACCATATCAGTTATCAAAACCTGCAGACTGACCAGTACCACACACTGTGGTGCTACACACCTCAGAGCCACAAGCTTTTCCAGTACTAGAATATATACAAGAGAAGCCAGGAGTCTCAAGCCAAGAAAATCTTGCTTCCCTCTATAAAGTCCTCTTAATTTCTGGAAGACACAATAATACCACCACAGCTTTCCTACACTGATGATTTCAGACCCATAAGTAAAGTGTTGTCTCCTGCACACACTCATGACAAACACCTGCCACAATACAACCAAGATGTAAGCAGGCAGGTAACTACTACTATATCTCCCAAAATGAATGAAACACTTTGTTGCCCAGCCCAGCCCCAATTTCCTTGTAGTTGATGCAGCGAATGAGAGGGAGCTGCCAGCTCATTCTAGGCCTTTTCCATTTAACAAGTAATCCAAGTGGCTAGATTTGGTGGGAAAGAAGAGCTACTCATGAGCCACTCTCCAATTTCATATTGCCACCTACCAGGCCTTGATGGCAAAATAAAATCTTAACGTGCTCCACGTGTGTGTGTGTGTGTGTGTGTGTGTGTGTGTGTATATTTTGTTAGAAGACAAGAAAAATATTAACGTGCTCCACGTGTGTGTGTGTGTGTGTGTGTGTGTGTGTGTGTATATTTTGTTAGAAGACAAGAAAAATATTAACGTGCTCCACGTGTAGACAAGAAAGACTGTTTTCGGTCTCTCATCACTGAAGGACAGTTGATTGCAAAAACTTCCCTGCAATGCTGCTGATATAGCTTCCATAGGTCCATGATACAATGGGAAACATACTGTGCCAGTTATCAGATCTTCCAAGAGAAATTCAAATTACCATGGATGATCTCCCATTCAAAGAGCTTACGTTCTTCATTCAGAATATGGACTCCTCTCTCCATGTGCTCAAAGATTCCAGACCAGTGTTGTGATCATTGGGGATTTATGTGCCTGCAATAAAAATGTGTTCAGTAGAAAATCACTCAAGCTCACAAATCACTCAAGATCAAGACCACTCAATACCAACAGCACACTTTCCCTAAGTCTTAGCACTCCTACTTTAATCAATCAGTCCCTATTTCTAAAGCATACATTTGATATGTTGGTTAAGGCCATCAAGCAACCCCTTCCATTCCAAAACAACTGTTCTGTAATTACCCCCTCTTTGGAGATCAACTGTCCCACTAAAGCCTGAGGATCTCTTACCCAGTGGATCCTGGAGAATGGCAAAGCATATTACTCTGTCTACTTCCTTTCCATCCCTCCTTCCCATACCTTTGCCCACCCTCTTTCATAGATCCTTCCCACAAGGAATACCTAAGACAAAAAGTTCATTCCCCTTTCCTGGGAGCAACAGACTGTTTCCACCAGAGATTGTCAGAAGAGGGTTCTATTCTTCAAGTGCTTACTCATTTTGATTCCATTTTAGGTGTGTATGTGCCCATATGTACAGTTGTCATAGATTTCTGCCTTAGTGATATCCACAGGGCTGGCAGTGGTGTCCTCTGAATGGTGCATTGATGTGGAGATATCAAGTACAGCTGGCCCTACACCTTTTCAGTTTCTTACCATCTGTGACAGTTAAAGTGTCTTGTCTTGCTTTTTAAGGGCAGTAGTGGTTTTCCATAGACTTTGTTCTCATTGTACATAGTTCATAGTAGTTAGTTGATAGTGCTAAGCCTAGTTCGAACTACCTAGTTCGTGCCCCGTGTAGCCGCGCTGCACGGGGTTCGAACCAGCGGGGTTTTAAAAATGG